AAAGCTTACAGAGCAGTGTTTGTCTCATCTTTTATGTTCATCAACACCATCATCATCACCATCATCATCATTAGGCTATATTAAAGAATACTTTCGGAGTTTACAGCCATAAAAACGTGGGAGTTTTACAATGCGGAGAAAAGTAAAATCAAGGTAAGAAGATACAGTGGAGCTCTTTGGTTTTCACTATTGAGGTTTTTTCTTTAGCAGTAAAATCTATCTTTGCTGTCCTCTTAACCTTTGGATTTAAGCTGCATTGTAGAAAAAATAGAAAGGAAAATGTTTCTTTTAAATTTCTCCTATATAAATGAACAATAAAATGGGGCAAACAATATCGACTGTTATTCTCTCCCTTATTATTATTTGTTATTAGGTATTACATTTTGTGTTCTCAAGGCTGAAAAAAAAAAAAGACATAAATAGAATCCAATNNAAAAAAAAAAAAGTCTTTTATATGTCACGGTGACTTGGAAAGTTGAGCATAGTAGTAAAATTAACATTCACAGCCACAGAAGAACTACAGTAGAAAACTGTCAAGGCCTGAAGTGCTCTTATTATCTGACAGTGTTTTTATATTAACGACAGGCGCTGGATACCTTTTATTTTAGCAGTTACAGTCCCTAACAAGAATCCTGAATGTTTATATACACATGGAATGACTGTGAGCGTGTGTGTGTGTGTTGTGTTTGTAGTGTAGGGTCTCGCTGTGGTAGTTTTAACTTTGGTATTATTCTCTGTCCACCACAGCCGAGCCGGACTACACAGGCACACATACAGACAGAGCTGCACTGCTGTCGGAGAAAACAAAAAAAAAACATCTCAAAAATATACATTTGTATTTTCTCAAGTTCGGTTCGACATCCATGCAGTTTTTGAGCTCTGCAGTGGATTTTTTTTAACAGCTCAAGGGTCGAGGAACACACTAAAAACATAGATCAGCACGCATATTTTAAGTAGAAACACTAAACCTGGAGTTCAAAGGTTTTCCTCCGACAGCAGTGATGAATATACACACACCTTCCTCTCCACAAAACACAGCCACATCATCTGCGTCACTGAACTCCAAACAGTGAACACAGGCAGACATGGTGGTGTATTCTGTAGGTTAAAGCCATAAGAACTGGTTAATGAACATCTTTGTTTCTCCTTCATCAAACTAACTTGCTAGGGCCAGTTTCACATCCCTCACTCCTGAGTTCAGACAAGTCACGTCTTTTTTATTTTATTTTTTTTGTCATTAAAGCTTGAATGTCTATTTGGTTTTTCATCAGAGTATTAGAGGTATGAGTTAAAGCCCTCGTCCTGAAGCGGGACGGAGGAAATCAGAAAGCTTCTTTGAGAGCAGAGGAGGAGACGTGAACGGAGGAAATTCACAGAACGGGACGGAAATGTTGGATTTTAAACCAAAACGCGGGGCAAAAGTTGTGAAATGTGACAACCACTGACCAGTTTAACCAGTTTGGAGTGTGTGAGACTGAGCTGGGTCAAACAGTTGGTATTTCATAGTCAGATTAATTTACTTTCCAGCACACCAGACCATTGAAGCTACTTGAAATATCCTGAAGTGGCGAAAAGGATCCACTTGGACTGGGTTGCACAGGCGTTTCATAAAATCCATCACTAAATTTAAGTCCTTCTGAGAAACTAGCTAGTTTTAGACAAGTGATTTACTAAATCAGGTAGCACCATAAAAAGAAATGTCTTAAAGACTTCTTTCATGTGTAAATTGGCTGTGAGTAAACATCTGTAGCGTGGTTTAATCAGGAAGTCATTGTTAGCATCACAAGCTGTGACATAACCGCTAAAAATAACAGTGTTATGGGCCTTTTCTATATACTAAACTTGACGGCTAATCCTTTGTAAATGTATGACTTTGTTTTATTTATATCCACATATGTGAAGAAAGTGTTTTGAGTTTGTATTATTCATATTCAACTAAATAAAATAACGTTTTTTAGCTAGTAATTTTAGTCTGACACTGTTAGCATAGCGTTTTGTAATGAGCGATGACTATAGCGTTTCTATGAAATGTTTACATTATTATATTATATTATTTTTAAAAGCATTTTGATCACTTGCCAGGTCAGCTGTGTCCACACTGTATGTTAGCATGCTTACAGGTCATATATTAGCAAGCTAACATTAGCTTTGCCCATTAACGTTCATTAACGTTCCTTTAGCACCTGGCAGTTACTGGGTGTAAATATTTAGTGACAACTAATCTCTATTAACTAGTTTGTGTGCAACCAGATTTAATTTAGTCATGTGTGAACAGTAAACATTGATGGTCTAACTAAGCGAAGACCTGGTGAACTTCGTACAAAATGGATGATACCTTTTCTTCACCTATGTTGGATCCATAATGAGAAACCCAACGTTATAAAAGCTCATTTAAAAAAAATCAGTGCTATAGTGAAGTAAACATTACTGACTGAAGATTATAAAACACACACTCCAGGTTTTGCGTGATATGGGGAACACGGGACAGTGAAACGTGAGACACGTTTCTCATGAAGCCAGTTTAAAAACAGCATTTTCCTCCGTTACAGTTTCCCTGCTACTTTTCTCTCTGTCTCGGGTTACAACAGTCTTTAGGTTTGGTTTTGCTTTGAAACATTCGTTTGGCATCTTCTCTTCTTGTCTTGATCTCAAGAACACCCCTCTCTGCAGATACAAGCCTCACAACAACCCCTGAAAAACTATTACAAAGATCCAGAAAGACATAAATAGAATCCAATAAATACATAAATAAAGAATCAATAAATAAACAAGGTGAGAGACAAAGAGGTTCATAAAATACAAACGGACCGTTTTTCCCATCCCCAAAAAAGCGCACACCTCCCTCGTACAATAAATACAAATATTTTTTTCCAACAAAGAGCCCGTGAGAGATAAAGAGTTTTAAAGCTTTTGGTTCTTAAATCAAGTCATCGTCTTCGGTCGTCATCAGCGAAGGATAGTAGTCCCAGCCTTTTTATACATCAGCAACAAGTAAGAGCAGTTGAACATATATTATTTTCCCCCTACAAAAACCTATAAGAACTAATGGATACATTCCCTCTAAAAGTAGACGTTAACAGCCTTTAATCTGTCTCGGACGTCAGCACCACCCTCTTCCCTCCCCATATCATCTTCATCATTGGTTGCCTTTAGTGTCTGTGTGTGTTACATTAAAGCTCAACTCCGTTTTCAACCTGGGCCGTCTCTTTGTTCTTCCATGAGAGACATCACCAACTGCTACACTGCAGAGCTACAGACTTTATTGGTCATCATCTATCAAAGTTTTTAGATATTTCCCGCATTCCAGGTCACCACTGGTTAGCTTTGATTATGATAAAGTAAATGTGATATCAAAATCAACTTCATTTGATTTGGAAATGCGTCACACTGAGCGTATTTTGTGAGCAATTATTAGCTGATGTCATTAAACTTTTCTTCTCTGTTTGCTTTAAAACAGACAGCTACAGTACAGTCAAGCTTCAGAAGCTGGCTGCTACCTAAATAAATAAAATGTGATCTGATCATAAATAAACTACAAAACTGAGCGTTTTACAAGGTGACGAATGGGTTGAAGAAGCTGCTGAGTTGATATTCTGGAGTTTCTTTCTGTATCGCTGCACCCGGAGCAGCGGGAGAGAAGTTGGAGGCTCTAAGCCTGATGGGGAAAACAGGTCCAGGTTGAAAACGACAAGAGTTTTGCTTTTAAGCATTGAGCGATATTATTATCATGTTTCAGGGAAAGAAAGTGTGTGTTGTGTGTTTTTTACGGTTTGGTTTGTATGCAAGATAATTACCTTTATACCGACACATGCTCACACACTCATACATGCACGTATACGCACGCACACACACACACATACACACACATGCACACGCGTCAGCTGAGCCACTCGTACAACTTGTGCATTGGTTTGGTTGTTCTATTTGGTATGGTTGTATGTCTAAAAAGTTTAGCTTTTGGTTTTCAGTTTTGGCTTTTTCACAACATTCTGGATCAACTAAAAAACTTTTTTTTTTTTTTAAGTCTTGGAAGCTACATTTTCACAGCTATTTCCAACCATTAACAAAAATAAAAACCCAGAGCACAACCGAAGAGACAAGAAGATATGAAAATAGGCAACATGTCGCCCAACCCGCCACCTCCCCACCCCCCGCCCTCCCTCC